TTAGGAAAACTACTTACAACTTTTAATGGTCCTAGTAGCAGCACTAAAGTCTGTATGAATTCCAGTAATGTGGAAAGGATATAGAAGAACTAAGAGCAAAAGAATATTCTGGCACTGATTAGAATCTACCACTTTTTTTTTAGACATTACCATTCTTACCTCAGAGATGGGGCTATCTTCAGATATAATGTCCTTTAGAATATGTTCGACAATAGAGCAATAAGTAATTTAGACAGATATCAGTGAGATTTAGAATACATGTTTGTCAATTTTAACACATACTGTTTAAGGAGGAAAATTGCGACTGGAATATAAAATCTGGAATCATCTAATCATTATTCTTAACTACTGACTGCTGGAATACCTCTCCAGGTTTCAGGGCCTTTTAGCTACCTTCTGTTCAGAAGGATCTGACTAAAACAATTGTTGGAAGGATACTACTTTTTCTCATGATATACCATGTCTTCCTTTTTGCCTCCTACTCTCCCTTTCCTTCCACTTATGACTTAGACATTGTTTACCTGCTGATAATTCATGGAATTTAAAAAGTAGTAGACTCAGGATCTAAATCTGTGTTTTATTTTCCAGGGTGATCCTTACAGCATCTCTGATTCTATTAATGTGTAGTAGTAAGAGAAGTATTTCAATAAATGCCACCTGAAGAACTGAAATTTTATCAATTATACTATTTTCAGTATCAAAATGAGATGTAAAAAATTCAGACATTTCACTTATGGGCCCAGAAGCAATCTGTACAGATCCTTCTATAGCTCGTAAGCATGATGATTGAGTTTTCATGCTCATGTGTGAAATGTGCCTCCCTCAGACCTTGTAACCATGTCAGCACATTACCTGTCTGAGGCGAGAGAAAAAAAATGTTTTAATCTATATAGATGTGAGATATTACCGATTACTACTTTAAGTGAATCTTTTCACTTGACTTTTACAATATAAGAATCAATATAGCAGATGAAATCTGACACCTCTACACCTTCAAGGGGCAGAGCTCAAAAACAATCAATATATTTCTTATGCTTATAACCATCATTATAACCAGACTATTTTTTTCATCAAGAATAAATGGTGGAGGCCGGGTGCGGTGGCTCACGTCTGTAATCCTAGCACTCTGGGAGGCCGAGGCGGGCGGATTGTTTGAGCTCAGGAGTTCGAAACCAGCCTGAGCAACAGCGAGATCCCGTCTCTACTAAAAATAGAAAGAAAATTAATCGGACAACTAAAAATATATAGAAAAAAATTAGCTGGGCATGGTGGCACATGTCTGTAGTCCCAGGTACTCGGGAGGCTGAGGCAGGAGGATCGCTTAAGCCCAGGAGTTTGAGGTTGCTGTGAGCTAGGCTGATGCCATGGCACTCACTCTAGCCCGGGCAAAAGAGTGAAACTCTGTCTCAAAAAAAAAAAAAAAAAAAAAGAATAAATGGTGGAAATGTTAGACATTAAGAAAGCATTATCACCTAGTTTATTTTAGTTTATCATTAAAAAATTACCTTTGGAAATCCCATATATCAAGGTTGGTATCTCCTACCAGATCCAGAGGTCAAATGGCCATTAAATTTACTTTCTCTCATTGACTCATTGTCCTTATTTATAAAACGGGGATATTATATACTTTACAGGGTTACAGTAAGAATATATAAAATTAGGGATATGAGAGTTCCTAGCATATGCCAGATACAGTAGGCACTCAAAGGTTAGTTCTAATTTTCCCATACTGATACTGCACTAAATTAAGAACACACAAAACAACAACAAAAACCAACTTGGATCTGAGAATTAGTTAACACACAGATTACAGGCATACCTCGTTTTATTGCGCTTTGCTTTATTGTGCTTCACAGGTATTATGTTTTTTATAAATTGAAAGGTTTGTGGCAACCTTGTGTCAAATAAGTCTATTGGCACAATTTTTCCAATAGCATGTGCTCGCTTTGTGTCTGTGTGTCACATTTCGGTAATTTTCAAAATATTTCAAACTTTTCCATCATGACTATTACATCTGTTAAGGTGATCTGTGATCAGTGATTTTTTGATGTACTATTGTAATCATTTTGGGAAGCCCTGAACCGTGCCCATAAAAGACAGCAAACTTAGTCAATAAATGTTATGTGTTCTGTTTCCTCTGCTGACCAGCCGTTCCCCTGTCTCTCTCCCTCTCCTTGGGCCTCCCTTTTCCCTGAGACACAAGAGTAATGAAATTAGGCCAATTAATGACTCTAAAATGGGCTTAGTGTTCAAACGAAAGGAAAAGTTATACATCTCTCACCTTAAATCAAAAGCTAGACGTGATTAAGCTTAGTGAGGAAGGCATGTCAAAAGCTAGGCCTCTTGTGCCAGTTAGCCATGCTGTGAATGCAAAGGAAAAGTTCTTGAAGGCATTCTAGTGACACATGAATAATATGAAAGCAAAACAGCCTTATTGCTGATATGGAGAAAGTTTTAGCAGTCTGGATAGACGATCAAACCAGCTGCAATATTCCCCTAAGCCAAAGCCAATTCCAGAACAAGGCCCTAACTCTCTTCCATTCTGTGAAGGCTGAGAGAGGTGAAGAAGCTGCAGAAGAAAAGTGTGAAGCTAGCGAATGTTGGTTCATGAGGTTTAAGGAAAGAAGCTGTCTCCATAACATAAAAGTGCAAGGTGAAGCAAGGGCTGATGTAGAAGCTGCAAATTATCCAGAAGATCTATTATAGCTAAAGATTATTGAGGAAGGTAGCTACACTAAACAAATTTTCAATGTGGATGAAACAGCCTTATGTTGGAAGAAGATGCCATCTAGGACTTTCATACCTAGTGAGGAGAAGTCAATGTCTGGCTTCAAAGGACAGGCAGACTCTCGTTTGGGGCTATTGCAACAAGTGACTTTAAGTTGAAGCGAATGCTCAGTTGCAATTCTGAAAATCCGAGGGCCCTTAAGAATTATGTTAAATCTACTCTGCCTGTGTACTAGAGGGACCATCAAAGCCTGGATGACCACACATCTGTTTACAACATGGTTTATTGAATACTTTAAGCCCACTGTTGAGACCTAATACTCAAAAAGATTTCTTTTAAAATATTACGGCTCATTGACAATGCACCTGGTTACTCAAGAGCTCTGATGGAGACAAATCTGAGATTAACGTTGTTTTCATGCCTGCTAACACAACATCCATTCTGCAGCTCATGAATCAAGGAGTACTTTTGACTTTCGAGTGTTATTATTTAAGAAAGACATTTTTGTAAGGCAATAGCTGCTAGAGATAGTGATTCTTCTGATGGATCTAGGCAAAGTAAACTGAAAACCTTCTGGGAAAGATTTACCATTCTACATGGCATTAAGAACATCGGTGATTCATGGAAGGAGGTCAAAATATTAACATGAGCAAGAGTTTGGAGGAAGATGATTCCAACCCTCATGGATGACTTTGAGATGTTCAAGACTTCAGTGGACAAAGTAACCACAGATGTGGTGGAAACATCAGGAAAACTAGAATTAGAAGTGGAGCCTGAAGATGTGACTTAATTGCTGCAATCTCACGATCAAATTTGAATGGATGAGGAATTGCTTCTTACAGATGAGCAAAGAAAGTGGTTTCTTGAGATGGAATCTATTCCTGGTGAAAGTGCTATGCACATGTCAAAACAACAACAAAGGATTTAGAATATTACATAAACTTAGTTGATAAAGCATCAGCAGTTTCAGAGGATTGACACCAATTTGAAATAAGTTTTACTGTGGGTAAAATGTTATTAAGCAGCATCACTGCAGGCTACAGAGAAAACTCATGAAAGGAAGAGTCAATCAATGTGGCAAGCTGCATTGTAGCCTTATTTTAGGAAATTTCCACAGCCATCCCACCCTTCAGCAACCACCACCATGATCACTCAGCAGCCGTGGACATGAAGGCAAAACCCTCCTCTCCACTAGCAAAAAGATTAGGACTGGCTGAAGGTTCAGATAATTGTAGCATTTTTTAAGCAGTAACGTTTTTTAAAATCAAGTATGTACATTGCTTTCTTAGACACAAATATGTACATTGTTTTTCAGATATAATGCTATTGCAAACTTAACAGTACACACAGTATAGTGTAAACATAACTTTTATATGCGCTAGGAAGCCAAAAAATTCACGTGACTCGCTTTATTCACTTTATTGCGGTAGTCTGGGACCCAACCCGCAATATCTCCGAGGTATGCCTGTATGTACTTCATTTCAGTGTGATTCCGTCAGGTAGAGGTCTGTCACATAGTGTTAACAGTACGGAGACAGAAGAGGAAGGTTCTACTTTTAGTAGGACTTCCAGATGGCTTTTTTTTTAAAATCTGAAAACTAAGGAGTTCGCATATAGTATTCCTGAATTGTTTTCCAGCTTTACGATTCTTGCTTCTATAACCCTATGATTATGGAAGCAAAACAAACACACATATATTCAACCCTTCATTGTAATACTCTACAGTATATTATCGCCAATACGAATCTATTTCGAGACTAGAGAAAAAAATTCATACTCATTAGTAGAGAAACGCCACTAAAAATAGCTTAGAAATATTTAAATGCTTCAGTGATTTCGATATTTTATTTCACATCGCGCCGTGGGAATAAAGAAATATAAACACAACAATACAGCACGGCGTCCTCGGGTCCTTTTAAGCCTGCGCCAGTACTGGAAGATAATGAATCGCGCTGTAACTGACTTTGTATCGGGCAAACCGGGGGCTGCTGGACAGCTGGGGGAGGGGAGACGGGGCGTGGGAAGAGGCCTGGAAGGGGGTGTGAAGGTTTCCCAGCCGAAGCAACGGCGGGACCGCGGCCAGCCCAGGCGCGGCTGGGGGGCGGGGAGCGGCCGCCGGCGGAGGGGCGGGCGGGGCGCGGGAGGCGCCGGGCGCGCCAGGCCCGGGCCGCGGCCTCAGGAGCGGGTGTGGGCGGGCGCTCTGCGTCCGCTCGGGCCGAGGGGCCGGCGGGCTCCCGGCGCGAGTCCGCCCCGTCCCGCCTCTTCCCCTTACCACGTAGCCCCCCCACACGTAGAGGAAGTTTCCGTCCACCACGGCGCAGTGGCCGCTGCGCTCCTCCGCCACGCAGAACAGCTGCGAGTCCGCCATCCGTGCGGCGCTGGCCCACACTCGGCGCGCCGCAGCCCCTGCCCACCGAGCGGCCTCTTCTCCCGTCCCTACTCGTCCACGCACGAACGGAACGCGTCGAGGGTCGAGATTGGTGGGAAGGCGGAACCAGTGCGTCTGCGCCGCCCCGCAGCCCGCTCGTTCGCGAAGCCGAGCCAAGGGCGGTGTGGCTGGGAGGGAGGTCTTGGGTCCTAGCAGGAGGAAGGGGCCTTGACGTCCTGGACGCCTGCTTGCGCACAGATTTCCTCTCGCTTGGAATTGTGTTGTTTTGGCAGTACAACCCCATTCAGTAGTCAGTCTATAGTCAAATTCCTTGGTTCTCTCAAAATGACTTTCTACAGTTGGTTTGGCCAGCATTGCATTGTATTTGGCTGTTATGCCTCGCAAGACTTTTTTTTATGTCTTTGTTAATCTAGAGTCATTTTTCTCTTATGCCATTGATTTGTTAAATGGGTTAGTTTCCTTATTTTCCTATAGCCATCCCACCTTCTGGGTTTGTCTGATTGCTTCCTCAGTGTGCTTTTTCATTAACTTGTGCACCCTTCTCCCATATTTATTTTAGACTAGAAGCTGTATCTAAAGGCTTTATTAGATTCTGGTTCAGCTTCGTTCAAGAATGCTTCATATTACAGCACCTTAGAAGGCATTTAAGTCTGTTGCACTTTAGTGAACTATTTCTTTTAGACAATGTAAGTAAACACACGATTCCCCCAAACGAAAAAGGAAGCATATTATATGCAGTGTCTATAACTTACTCTTTTCACTTAACAATGTATCTGTCATTCCATATCAGTGTATATCGATCTTCCTCAGTCCTTTCTATGGCTTCACAGCGCTCCACTGAGTGTATGTGCCATAGTTTATTCAGTCAGGTCCTTACTGATAGACATAATGGTTATTTCCAGTTTTTTGCTATCACAAATAATGCTACAATAAATAACGTTATGCATATGTTATTTTGTATTTTTACAAGTATGGGTTTGGGGTAGAGTTCTAGAAGTGGAATTGCTGGGTCAGAGGATAAATGCATATGTGATTTTGCTAGGTGTAGCTGAATTTCTCTCATAGAAGTTTTGTCAACACCAGCAATATACGACAGTCACTGCTTAACAGAATATGTTGTTAAACTTTTGAGGGCTAATCCAAAACATTTGAAATAGTATCTCAGTGAAGTCCTTTGGAATTTTAGCTTTATGAAAGGGGTTTTCTATTAGACTTCGTACCTTGGGTAGCCTCTATGCTTTATCTCCTGTCACCTGCACTCCTTGAGGTGGTGAAAACAAATGAGTCTCAGTGTTTGAGTAAATGACCTCAAGGGGAAAGCCAAATTTTGTCTTTTGCTTACCTTTTGATTTCCCATTTTAAAAAAGATATTTGTTCCTGCTTCGTTTTTTCCTTCTGGATATTCTTTACTTTTTTGCTAGCCTGTTGATATATTTTTAACATTGGCTTTTATATTTGATCAAAATTTTTAGTATTTTTTAAAGTGAGGATTGTTCAGGATATCTAGTCTACCATATTGCTATAGAAGTCTAAGTATCATTTTAAGTATCAAGTTTTCTCTCTGTCTCTAGAAAGTGTCTGTGGAACATACATATGGAGATTTCCAGGAAATAGCTAGAGTAGTCTGGAGTTCATTACCTGTTTAGTTTAGAGATGAAGATACTGGAGTCATCATTATACAGACAAGTTTGTGGGAGGCCTGGGCATGGATAAGATTTCCCAAAGAGAGTATGTGGAGTAGGAAGACTAGAAGGCCTTGGGAATATGAACATTTCAGTGGAAGAAAAAAGAAAGGAAGATAAGAAGGATCAATCAGAGTGAGGGACAACCAGGAAACGGTAGTACCATGGAAGCAAGAAAAGAAACTGTTTTAATAATTGTCAACGGGGTCAGAGACGTTGGAGAAATCAAGTAAGGATGAGGGCTGAAAAATAACCACTGGATGTGGCAATTAAAAGGTCATTGATGAAACCATAATGACAGTCTGAGCGTGGTGACTCACACCTGTAATCCCAACCCTTTGGGAGGCCCAGGCGAAGGGGGTCACTTGAGGCCAGGAGTTAGAGACTAGCCTGGGCAACATAGTGAGACTTCATCTCTATAAAAAATAAAAAAATTAGCCAGGTATGGTGGTGCACACCTACAGTCCCAGCTACTCAAGAGGCTGAGAGGAAGGAGAATTGCTTGAGCCCAGGAGGCTGCAGGGAGCCATGATCACCACACTGCACTCCAGCCTGGGTGACAAAATGAGATCTCTAAAAAAGAAAAAGAAAAAAAAAGAAAAAGAAAAGGGTGGAGTAGGGAGAAGGGATTGATGGAAAGGAGTACAAGGGAATGTTCTGGAGGGATGGAAATGTTCTATATCTTGACTGGGGTAGTGGTCACATGGGTAAATACATTTATCAAAATGCATTAAACTGCATAGAGATACATGCATTTTACTTAATGTAAACTATGCCTGAATAATGTATCTATTTTTAAAGTCCTCGCTCCATCACTTTATTGTTACTAGTAATATTGGTATTGTATTTTTGAAATGGAGCACTTGTCCTCCTGGAGTGTAGTGGGGTCTGTAGACCAGAGAACAGACAGTTACAACACTGTGCAGTAAGTGTGAAGACAGCAAAAATTCAGGGCACCTTAGGGCTACAGAGTAGGGCCTTTAACTCAGATTTGGGGGAGACAGGGAAGGGTTCTGAGAGAAAGTAAAATTTAAGCTAAGAACTGAAAGATGAGTGGAATTGTTCAGGCAAATGGAGTGGAAGAGAGAGTGAAGTGTTCCTGGCAGAAGGAACTGCAGAGGAAGAGATGACCTGTGTACTTTATTCTAATGTGGAGAGATTTTGAAGTACTTTAAGTAGGGAAGTGACATGGTAAGAATCATGTTTCAGAAGGTTTATTCTAATGGCAAGATTGGAGGCAAAGAGACCAGTTAGCAGGTCAGTCACTGCTGGCCAGAGATGCTAGTGTCCTAAGTGACGGGCCTGGCCATGAAGGTAGACATGAACAGATTTGAGAGAAACTGAAAGGTAGAACCACAGGGAATTGGTGGCTAATTGGTTTATGGGGGAGGATGCCCTAGTTTACTAGCTGGGTCACTGGGTGGAAGGTGGGTGGGGCCCTTTGCCGGGTTAGTGAACAAACCCCCCCAAAACAGAACTGTGTTCAAAAATCACTTTTTTCTGTGATGTGATGTTACCAATTTAATATATAATTAGATGTATTAGTTTTAGTATGCTTTCAATTTTGTTTACTTTTTCTTTTCTATGTTTTTGAATATGTAAAACATGCATGGGTCAAAAGTCTCACTATAAAGAAAGATTTCACTTTCATCCCCTTACAGTTAATCATTTTTGTAGTGTCTAGTTTAACCATCTAGAGGCTTTTTAAATGCAAAAACAAATAAAGATGTACATATGTTTTTGTTCCTTCCTCCTTTGCTAAACTTTGCCTTTTTTTTTTTTTTTAAGAGAGGGGGTCTTGCTCTGTCACCCAGGCAAACTCCTGGGCCCCGGGCTCAAGCAACCCACCTGCCTCAGCCTCCCAAGTAGCTGGGACTACAAGCAGAGCCACCACTCCTGGCTCCTTTTTAAAATTTTTTTAAAACTTAACCACATATCCTGGAGGTCACTGTGTTAGGGTGGAAAACCTGGTAGGTGTTCATGGCACAGGTAGAGAAAGATTTCTCACACAGAGATTAAAATGTAAAAGTAAAATTTATTTTAGCCTTTAGAAGGATAGAGAGAATGAGAGAGAGAGAGAGAAGGGGGGGTGAAGAGAGCAGGGGGATGGTGTAGCATCCCAAAGAATGAGAAGGGAAATGCCAGCAGCTAGGCCAAGTGGCTTGCTGCTTTTATGGGGATGAAAAGAAAAATAGTTAATTGTTGTGACTTGCCATATCCACTCCTTCTCTTCTTCTTAACTGAAAGCAGATAATGGAATCTGCTGTGTGAAACTGCTGCATCCATCTGTTCCCTTTGCTTTAGGGCTAAAGTGACCTTGCCCTTAAGATATGATTTTGGGCTGGGTTCCGTGTCTGGAGATTGTCCCCCACACTGTCATCCAGGAACTTCTCAGGAACTACCCCAGGCTGTAGAAACAGATGCTAAAAGGCATTTTTAGTCAATAGGTCTAGCACTGTAAAAAAAAAATCTACATTTCCTTTTGTCTGCTGGGCTTCTTTGAGATGTTCAGAACTCCACAGGGCACCTGTTAGCTAGGTGGAGAGGGAGCAGAGCTGACTTATTTCACACACAAGACCCACCGTCCTTTCAACTATCAGTACTTAGAAATCATCCTTATGTTTTATAAGCTGCATGTTCACTATAGCACTGCATGGTTTAGTCAAGACATTGGAGCAAACATTCTGAAGTGTAGGAGATTGACAGTCCACTTAACTGGAATGAGAATAACTAAGTTCGAAGTCCTGGCTCTACCACTTATTAGTCGCTTCATTTCGAGTGAGTCCTTTACCTTCTTTATGTCTGTTTTCTCATCTGTAAAATGAGGCTGCTGTGGAAAAATTAGATCACAGCTCATTTGCCTGTTGTGAGCAACACGTCAATTCATACATTTAAAGCGCCGATGACAGTGCATGGCGCATGGGAAGCTCTCCACTTAAGTAAAAAGCGGAGTGGGTAAAAGTGATGGAGATTTGTAACAGCTTTGGGTAACTGTGGGGAAAACCAAGTGACGTATTATTTCCAGAGCCTGTGTGCAGTAGGGCACACGAGTACACTGGGCCCACTGCAGCTCTTACGGCCTCGAAAGGAAGGGGTGGGTCTGGGAAGCCCGGCCGGACTCAAAAGATCGAAGGCAGCGGTGAGAGCGCTGAGCGGCTCATCAGAACACGTGGGATAAGGGAAGTGCATTCCCAACCGGACACCAGGGAAGGACGCTCTAGCCCTTCAGTCTCCTGGCAGCAAAGCGGTGCGGGGTGGTCCCTCCCCACTTTCAGCCTATTGGATCGCGAGGCACCGCTGGGAAGCCTGTGCGGACCAAGCGTGAGCCCAGCCGGGCTGCCCGCTCCTGGGGGCGGGGCCAGGAGCGGAGCTGGGGCGGGGCGTGCCCGGGAAGGGGCGGAGCCGCGGCTGTGGCGCCAAATCGCGAACATGGCGCCGGAGCGGGTGCGGAGTCGAGCCCTCTCCGCCTTCAAGCTGCGTGGCTTGCTGCTCCGGGGGTGAGTCGACTCCGGCAGCTTGCTGGGTGAGGGAGGGGGGCCGGGGCGGGGCCGCCTCGCGGGGCAGCAGGACTCACCGCGGCGGCTCCCTGTGCGCCGAGAGGGGTCTTGCCTTACATAATGATAGAGACCCTTAAAAAGTTCTTAGAAGCAAAGTCAATCTGGCACGATCTTGAGGCTGCGATGCTTTCTTAGGTTTGCGCGGAGTTGAAATGTTTCTTCCAGGCAGGCGATCCTGCACATGCCAAACTGAGGGACCTGTCTCGTAGCAGCCGTCTATTAGCACAGTGATCTGGGCACCTCTCAGGCTCCCGAAGTCCCCGCCTCTGCTAAATGGGAATCTTAACAACGCTGCTTCCCGCGGTTACTGAGACATCAAATGAGAGACCTGAGAAAGCCTACATGCATATCTGTAGTTGCCAATTTATATTGTGGCAGAAATTGACCTCCCTCCCCGTTTTGTATCAGGCATTATTTCCTGGAGAATTAAAAAGTAGGTAGGTTCTAAGAATGTTTTTAGGTGTTAGCCTGGATTTTTTTTTTTTAAAGATTTCCTTTGTGGCCGGGCGCGGTGGCTCACGCCTGTAATCCTAGCTCTTTGGGAGGC